CAGTCACTGGCTTTACATCAAAAGCCAAAAACATGAATGGAAAACCACAATGCAACAATTCAATCATAAAAATCTATTCTTAATCTCTTTATGTCAAATAAATAAATCATTTTATAACTTAGTACCATAATGGGGCCTTTAGCCTCAAACTGACCATCACCAAAACAAATCATCACAGTCACTACAGAAACACAAACCCTGTCATGCCAGTAACAATTTTCATACTGATTAGAATCTAGAAAAATAATTTTCAACATTCCATTTTTAAAAAATGAAAATATAAATAAGAACAGATCATTTCTTCCTTTGATGTTGTTTTATTAGAGCTGGTTCTTTTTTTCAAACAGAAACAAAATTATTGGTTGAATCTAAGCTATTTCTAAACTTGCCATGAGTAAATTGACTGAATAAAATAATTATTCAGATCATAATATGGAAGGCAGTTGGACTATTAAATCCATGGCCCCTTTAACACACAGGCATGGTTCTTCTTCTATGCTCTGCTGCGATGGCATCTCCAGCCTCTGATTTCCTCCCATTAGACTCCGATCTGCCCGGAAACAGCGCTAACAAGCAGGACCACAGGAGTGTGTCCGTCACTGCTTACGCAGCTATCCGGAGTGGAAGAACGCACACACACGGGAAAACGAGGGACGAGAGCGGGACTGGGCCGAAGGCCGGAAAGACAACAAAGAAAAGTCAAAGTATCAGAGCAAAGAGCGAGAGCAGCTCTGCTGCTGCCTCAGGCAGCAACGAGATGCACTCTTTCACAGGCAAAATAAAAATATCAAATTGTGACTTTTTTGTTCTATTTCCATTTTGAAAGGTAAAAATTAACACCAGTTTTGTGACGCATCCTCTCCACTAGCTGTGATCAACCAGAGCAGCAAGAAGAAACATATGCAGCACAGCAGCAGCATCAATGTGAAACAGGGAAGCATCAAACCTGGAGATTTTCTAAAGCTTATAGCAAATCCAAACTCATCCATCAACATTCTGTTTGAGTTTAAGTCTGACCATAAACAGATTAAATAATAATAATGTGTATAATGCACACACACACTTACATATACACACACTATGACCCTAAAAAGCCTCTGAGTTTCTCTAGAAAGTGAATCAAATAAGTTTGTTGCTGAATTTACAGAACAGAGTGAAACTCTTTGCCTGTGATGAGTTAAAGGGACGCTTTACACAGGATTCACATTTTGCACAGTTTTGTACTTTCATTGGAGTTTCTGCTGCAAACATCCAAAATGCTTAAAAAACCACCCAGCTGTTTTTTCATAAACAGATTCATGGTTTTGGTGTCTGGAAAATGAGCAGTTTCAAAAGGTTTTGGAATGTAACAGGCCTGTTACCTAGCAACCCCTGCAGAATCCATAAAGCTCCAGCATGTTTGGTCAGCTGGTTTCACCTATATTCACTGTACAGAAAGATGAGTGTTTAGTTGGTTTACCATCGAGAAACCACTTGCTGTATTCTGATTGGCTGTACAGGAGGCTCCACTTCTGCTTTTCAAAGATGTACGGTTGTATAATAGCTCATCTGTTTGCAGACATTTTCATGTGGAGTGTAAACATTGATTGTGGGCGTGGCCAGCAGCAGCCTGTATGGTTAACAATAATTGCCAACTTAGTAACTTTGTTCCTATATTTAGCAACTTTTTAGACATAAAATTTGGTTTCAGCTAAACTGGAGAGTCAGGCTTCATAAAGGTCAATTACCATCCAGAAAACTGCCATCTGGGCACCGCTGAAGCAAACAGCAGGAATTATGAGAATTATGTTTAGCTTCAGCAAAGTGTGGCACGGTTACTTCTGTGAACAGAGACCAAATAATGAAATTATTGTCAACAGGATTCTTATATAAAAATGAAGATGTCTCTTCCTCCAGAATGATGAGGCATTTCACTGCTTTTAGGCCCAGAGGCGCCTCGGTTTCCATCTGCAGCTCGCCTCCCCTGATAAGGCCGCTCTCCTGGGAGCGTGGAGCGGAGACATGATGTTATTGTGGTGGCAGGTTTGCACTCTGGCACTCTCTCTCACAGTCACAGAGGTCTGAGCTGCGGGTGCAGGAGGGGCGGCGTGTTTTACTGGGGGCCGAATGATGCAGGCAGAATATTCCCTCAGTCAGAGCCGAGCGACGGCGCGCAGACGGACGCGCAGACAGACGAGCAGACGACGCGCAGACAGACGAGCAGACGGACGCGCAGACGGCACACAGACGGCGTGCAGACAGAGGAGCAGACGGAGAAACTCTGCTGCTGACGACGAAAACAAACCAGAACAACGAGAACGGTTTTTTAAAATTCCTCAGTCTTCATTTTATCGTTTTCATTTAGCAACATTTCTTTTCTTCTCAGATTCTGTTTTCACTAATTTCTCAGTTGAGGCTCTTAAAGATCTTTTAAAGTAAAATATCCCAGTTTCACGTTAAACGCAAAAAAGTTGTGAATCAAGATTTAACCTTGAATATTAAAGAAATTCAAATGGCTCATTTATTATTGTCTGAATAAACACACAGTCCCATCCATGGTCTTCAACCTGAGGCTCCGGAGCCACTAGAGGCTCATTGGCTCTTCATAACTTTGCCTAAAATCAGATAATGATTTTAAATATAGATATAGCAACAAATGCAACCTTTAAAAGTTTTCAGTTAAGATCAATTTCCACAACAAAAGCATTATTAATATTTATTTTGATTTTTTTTACTTTGGAAAATGTGTTTCTTTTTCTCTTTTACATAATTTTCACCCAAATCGACCCAATGATCTTTGTGTAAAAGTTTTAGTTTTACTTTATTTTTGGACCTAAAAACAAAACAAAAAATAACAAATGTCATTTATTAGTTAAGCATCAAAAATATAAAGTTGCTTTGTGGCTTTAAGTCGATTATTTGCAGAAAAAGCTCTTTGGACTGTAAAGGTTGTAAAGTTTTGCACTTTGCAACTTTTTAAACCTTTTAGTGCTTTACATTTTAAAGCACTAATTTAATTGGCTGTTTTGTAAAGTTAGATACATTTTGAAGACGTTTCATCGATTGTTGAGAATCTTTAGTTAGCCGTGTAAATTCACGCTCTTATTTTGAAGAGAGTGAAGTCTGATTATGCAGCAGTTCCATTTCCTCTCTCTCTCTCTCTCTCTCTCTCTCTCTCTCTCTCTCTCTCTCTCTCTCTCTCTCTCTCTCTCTCTTCTCTCTCTCTCTTTCTCTCTCTCTCTTTCTTTCTCTCTCTCTCTTTAATTCAAGCCAGAAATATACATTAAAAGAATAAAACAGGAGGATGGAGAGCAAACAGAAACATAAATACAATATCTACAGGTATAGATTTGGTGAATCAAAATGTCTTGAGGGCTCTGGTGTTTTTAAAAAACAGGAACATTTTTTGAGATGAAGGAAAAATCCAGAAGCTTTCTTTCAGCCAGCTGATAGCACACAGCGACAGGTGAGGAAGGGGGGAATGATATGAAACTACAGAAAGTGATGATATTATCACAGCCTTTCATTGAATGAACTTTCTGTTGGTAACCAGGTCACACTGATCTCCAACACCCTTCAACTTTCTGTCAGTCAGACAACAAGAATCCAAAATAATGAGATATTAGCCAGACGGAGAGTCAGGTTGTCTCCTCAGCTTAACTTTACCAGCAGGAATGTACACAGGATGACATCAGCATGATGTAACCCGCTAAGTGCTGCCTGAAATGCTGCACAGCCTGAGCAAAGGATGCCATCATGATTTTTTAATGCAGAAAGGCAGCTGTGCAAGAATGTCACACAGAAAAAGCTCAGAGATCCATATTTAATGTCTTCATTCGTCAGGCTCAGCATGTAAAGCAGAACCGACTGGGACCAACAAACATGTCCACTAATCACCTGCTCTCTGCTGTCTTAGTCCGAGTTAGCAAAGGTCAAAAAAGATAAGAAGCAATTAAAGTTCACCGAAAGAAGAAAATTATTCTGATGTATGGGGAAAACATACAAATGTGATTTTATTCTTAGATAGGACAACAAAAAGTCCAAGAAGGTTCAAATCCCAGACGAGCCCCCAATTGTTTCAACCTGGCTAAGTTTTAATCTTACCTAAACTAAAGGTGAGATGAAACCTTCTGACCTGAACCAGCCGCAGCCCAGTGACAACAGCTGTAAATGGCATCATGGACAAACAGAAAGAGCAGCAACTTCTTAAAGAGCAGAGGCCAAATTTCAAGGCATTCAATTGCAAAATGAAGTGAAGTGATGTTTCATACACCGCATTTTTATAACAAATTGCCTGATTGTGTTATAAAATGCCTGGAGAACACATAATACTGGCCCTTTAAGACGCAGATGCTATAATGAGCGCTGAGGCTAACTAGCACCGGTGGTGGCAGCATCATGTTGTGGGGACATGGAAGCTGGTTAAACATGAGGGTCAGTAGAGGTTCAGATCTGGACGAGACAAACATGCAGAAGGTTTTTCTACAAAGTTTAGTTGAACAGAAATAGTTCGTCTCGCCTTATCGGTTCTCCATAACCTTGAGCTCAATCCTGTTTGCATCCATGATGCAAATGGACCAGATGTATACATAATCAATCCAACAGAACCTCTTTTGGATTTATTGGATTTTACATGTTTTCATGTAAAACATGTAAAATCCAATAAATTTGATGACATGGTTTGATAAGTGTGGCTGTGAAATCCATTTAAACGTGTAGATATGAAGATGAGATGCCAGCAGAGGTTCAGATTCCTACAGGATGTTTTATTTATTGGGAGTTTGGGCTTGAACTAGGCCTGTAGGCTTCGGACTGTGCAGCTTGTAAACTATCAGCTTCCAATATTTTTTAAATCTCTGTTCAGTTGGAAGGATTTCCAGTTTCCAGTCATAGATTAGATCAGATTAGATAAGCAGCCCAATCATTTTCCCCTCCCAGATGATTCGCTCACAAGTTTCCCAGCAGCTGACCGCAGTGCGCTGCGTCCCGCGGCTCCAAACGCTCCCGCTCCGGAGCCTTACCTCCTGTAGCTGCTCCAGCTCCTTCCGGAGGGTCTCCTGGTCGGTTTCCAGCTCCGCATATTTCTGCTTCAGCGCCTGATTCTCCTCCAGGACGGCCAGCCCGCACTCCGCAGCCCGGATCTTCTCCCTGTTGGCCTCGGCCAGCTCCTGCGTGAGCCTCTCCACCTCGGCCCGGTACTGATCCACCGATTCCCCGCATCCTCCTCCGGCGGCCATCGCCCTCTTTCCGCAGTGTGTTTTTCTGCCCCCCACCCCCTGCAGGTCTGATCCAGCGCCGTGTGGATGGAGGCAGAGCCAGAGCGGCGGGCGGAGGCTGGAGGATGCTGAGAGTCCGCCCTCCTCTTCCTCCTCCTCCTCTTCCTCCTCCTCCTCTTCCTCTGAAAGGAAGCAGAGGACAGGAAATATCCGGGAAGGAAATCACGACATGTCAGCTGCTCTACAGCATCAGAAAAGAATAACTGTGACTAATGAAACCTTCATGAAACAAGGTCAGTGTTGATGACTCTCAGCTGAACGGAAGGTGTCATTTCTGCCTATTCATGGGCTGAAGGGCGCCACCTTTTGGCTACTTTAAGACATAACATGCTTTGTCTGGCAGCCTAAAGTATTCATACCCTTCTCCACAAAGTGACTCATATAGATGTAATCAGTTGAAATGAAAACATGAGGAATCCCAGTTAATAACAGGTTATATTTTATCAGTTTGGTTTATTCAGCAGCTTTTCAGAATGAACTGAAAATGTTTGTTTTTCTTCATTAGAAACTAAAATTATTTGATGATCAGAGAAAAAAAAACATTTGTACATCAAAGTGGGGATCCATGGGATTTCATTTCAGTTTTACTCATATTTCTTATGACAATAAAATAAGTCTGAGTGAAGTCAGGTCTTTATGTGTAACTTGTATTTTTTTAATTATTAAATGTGGGAGGAATAAGAAATTAGATTTTTGTCCCAATAAAATATTTAGGTTTGGTGTATTTGAGGAGTTTTTTTGTTTTGTTTTTTTGAGTTTTCTTCAGTTCAGGTGAAAAGTTTCTGCTGCACAAATCAATGTTTCTCACTCTGGTGTCAAAGTACTTTACAGTAAATGATAAAAAGAAAACAGGAGTGGTGCTGTAAAAAATGGCAAAGTCAGATGAAATATGAGAAACTATAAAATAATTTCTACAGCTGCATGTTTTATTTTTGCTTTCAACAAATCAAAGCATTTGATGTCTGACAATTATCACTAATTAATTATAAAGTTTCATTGTGATCGTTTGCTGTTACACAACAGTGGTCAAGGTTTTCTGTGCTGCTCGCTGCCAACTATTTCTGTCCTCTTTAACTCTGTGAAGCGCTGATAAATTTCTCACTCAGGCAGTAAACAAAAGATACGGCCGGGGTGAAAAGTTGAGCCGTTCTCATAAACCTGCAATCAGTTCTGGTTCCGTCAAATCAGTTGCTGAATTGATCTGCAGGGTGGTGTTTTCCTATCTGTCTGAGGACTTGAAATTATTTACATAAAGCAGAACTGAGAACTGTTTAGATTATTGCACAAGCAGAAACTTTTGTTAAGCTCGACTTTCTGAAGCAAAGTGGCATTTTTAGAGAATATGCTTTGAAGAAGTTTTCCAGCATTAACATGAGCTTCTATTTGTAAAGATATTCTACCAGGTGATATTTTTGCCTTTGGACTGATTTGACAAGGCCTCCAAATCACTGAGCTGACCTGTGAATAACCTCGTCTTACAAGTCCAAATTAAGATAAGGAGAGGTTGTCAGAAAGTCAAACAGATGAACTTTTCATGACATGGGCTTATCTTATCTTTCACAAGGAAGTGTGGTGTCATGAAAAAGGCTAAATGCTGATCTCCATAACAACACAGCGGTTTCTGGTGAGAGACATGTGGAACAAGCTGCTTTCAAAGCTTCATCTGTACAGATTTAGCTGCAAAATTTAAAGAAAATGCAAAATTCATTTCAGAAATTCAGTTTATTGGAAAATGCTAAACATTTGTAGCTGCATGCGCTCTGCACAATGTCAGATATTCTGGGATTTAAGGTTAAATTTCACAGAACCTGGTTCAAAACTCCACAATTGTTTTTTTTTTTACATTTTATATAAAAAAGATTTTTAAAGCTGTGAACGTTGTGAGACAGTAAGAGAGGCTATCGCTGCGTCCCGTGCAGGTGGGAGCAGACACTCCTGTGGCTGTGTGTGCTGCCTTGTGTTGCAGAGGATCTGAAAAACAGCCTGGATGGTTCAGGCGTCCAGCAGCTCAGCCAGCGCAGCGGCTCAAGCGGCGGCTCCTGGAAGAGACAATATTTCCCAGAGATTTTACAACCTGAAGACAACCTTCCTGGAAATGAGTCTGAGTACCTCGTAATAAAGCAGAGGATGAGTGGCTGAACATATCCGCCGCCTGCTCATCACCTCGATTTCCTTCAGTGTTTCTGACTTTCTCCACTTTGCTCGGCGGTTCTGGAACCAAATCTGTAGCACAATAAAATTCATTTTTATTGGGATATGAAATCTGCAAAGCGATGTAGCAAAGGTGCAGCTAAAGGCATTAAAGGGACGAGAGTTTAAGAGACACTGAATTGCCTTGTCAAGGTCAACAAGCTGTTTACGACAGGGTTCATAAAAAAAACTAAAAAAAACTGTGCATTTAAGTTTAAAAAATTCCATTCTGTTTTTGTGCCATGTTACCAAAACATGAATTATTCAACAATAATTACAATTTTACTTTAGTTAAGCAGTGTGTTTGCGATATGAGTTGGTTTTACAATCATTTTGGATGAAAACATGCTTGATTAGCAGGGTAGGACATATTTGTGCTAATGTGCTAATAGCAGAGCGAATCTTAGCTCAGCAAAAGTTTTAGCTTAGCGCTTTAACACTTTTGCTAACTATGAAAACATTTAACATACTTAGCTTTACCGAAATGACATTTTCTGGATAGATTTTAAAGCACTAATTTTCTGTTTCATAAACTTTCAGTTGAAGAAATCCAGAAATCTGTGAAGACATTTTGATTATTGATTTTAAGAATTTTTTCAAATGATTAGTCATTTATGTTTATGCTTTATTATGAAGAGTATGTACACAGCAGCTTCCTCTGTATCTTTTTAAAACCCACTAACTTTATTTCTAACATGAAACCTACAGACAAAATGGAAAAAAAGCAAGGAGAAATACAAGGAAAGTAGAATATTTTCCATATAATTTTAGCGTTAGCACAGCTAACCTTTCAGTTAGCGGTGTCCACCTCTGCTGATTACTATTTACAATAACATTATACGTTTTTATTACTGCAAATTATTTTTGCTTACATCCAATGCAAACATTTAAAATTACAATATTACTCTTAACTTCATTATTTAATTTATTTCTTATTTCGAAATGACATGAAAACAAAACGATGTAGCATTTTACCAGGACATAAAGCTCATTATTATTAAATCAAACCAACAGCAAATACTTTTTAATCGAGAAATATGGGATTAACTAAAATGTTATTTTCTACAGGTTAATCTGATAAATGAGCCTCATTGCAAAGGACGTTATAATTTATTAAGTATGAGTGTTTGCATATAGATATCGTTCTGCTGAATTGTTTGCGTCCGTTGGGTCATGACCCCTCAGCAGCAGCCCCATCAGCAGCTGTTGTACCTGTATTCGTCCCTCCGTCAGCTGCAGACGGCCGGCCAACTCGTCTCTGGTGTTGACGTCTGGGATAGTGAGTCTGTTGGAAAACCGCCTCCAGCTCCTGAACCTGGATCGGCGTGAATGTCACCCTGGTTTGTCTTTTCCTCTTCTGACCTGCAGGTGAACAATTTATTAAAATCTCTTTGCTGGTTAAATAAATGCCACATTCACGGAGGTGCCTCTGTGACCCAGATAATTAATAAATACTCACTTTTGGTTTCTGTGGCAGATTTTGGAGATTCTTCATGATTTTTCTGTGAGGAATCTATAAACAGTGACAGTGAAGCTTTAACAGGAAAACTTATTTTCTGGCTACATTTTAAATCAAACTGTTAATTAATGGTAGATTTAAAACCTTACCTGTGTAAGAGAGCTGGTTATGTACCTCAGTGTTTTCTTTAATAACAGACCAGCTTCGATAAACTCTTTCCTCTTTTCTGATCGGTCTTCTTAGTATTTCTTCAATTGAATGTGAAATGTGTTTGTGCTGCCGTGATTCCCTCTCTTGATCCACACAGAAATGTTTTTCTTGCTCTCCTTTTGTCCACATGTCCAACAGTTTATCTCCCATCACCAGCAGGCTTGTCATAGGAAAAAAAATGATCATAAATCTTCTCAGTGTGTCTGCAGTATCAGGAGCTGCGAAGGTAAACAGATTCTGCAGTGTTCGCTCAGTCAGAGGAAGACGATGTGGTTTCCTCCCTCCACTGGCAGTCTGTGTTTGACCTGTATCACATGGTCAGCATGGAGGTGGAGCATCAGTGCACAACAGAATATTTCCAGGAAACTCTTAAAATTCAGGATGTACCAATTAGTGACAGAACTAGCATAGATCACTGTCAAATCAGAGGAATCAGAACTTCTGACTCCGCAGAACAAACTGCAGAAAAATCATGTAAAAGCTACGCACCTGATCTGAAACCTGGATAATATTCAACTTAAACACGTTTGCTTCTCTTTCTTATCACCTGGTTTACTGCACTGGTTTATCACCTTGGCCTTGATGCACCTTCTGTTCTCCTCTTCCATTCAGAAACTCAGGAGAATCTCATCACGTAAAAAGACCATTGATTGAGGAATTTGTCTCCCTCTAGTGGCCTGCACCGGCAGCTCCTCTCAACCTTTCCATTCAGATTCAGTTCATCCAAGAACCAGCAAGACTTTTCCTAAACGGATTTTCTGTTCCAAAGCATCATTTTAAATGTGTTTTACTTCAGATTACAGCTAGATTAGTTACCATAATTACACAGATCATACACATCTCTACATTATATCAATAGGTAACTCTGAACGCATTGATTTCTTCAATCTGACTAAAAAAAAAGAAAAATAAAGAAAACAGTTGTTGTATCAACCTTGCAGACTCGTCGGGTTTTCTGGTTCTGGTCTGATTCCCAGAATCAGAACCGAACATGGAGAAATAATTTATGCTCCTCTAATCTGGAATTAACTTCTAGAAAACAGAAAATCTGCTGAAACACTGAGCTCCTTTAAACTAAAGGCTGCTTATCTGCCTTTGCTTAATAATCACTGGAACGTATTGATCTGATATCACAACTTTTCATCCCTTTCCTTTAATCTGCCAGTGCAGTGGATCCTTTTTTTGTTTGTTTTGTGTTTTCATAATTTAAAACATTGAATTTTCCTGTTGCTGAAATGAACCAAACAAATAAACCCGTCTTCCTCTTCTAGATGTTTTCTGGTGTCAGCTCCATATTATTGTCTGTTTGCGTCATAAATATGACTGCAAAAAGGCAGGCCCAGCATCCCAGAGGTACTGGTACCATAACCTGAGAACCTCTCAGCAGAATGTGAGCTTCTCAGGTTCAGGCTGTGGATTCATGAGCACGGAGAAAAACAACAGCAGACAACAATATAATCTACACGAATAATAATAATTATCATTAACAGAAAGTTTAAATTTCACTAAACAGCAACAAATTGGTCAATAAATTCTATTAACCAGTTTATATGGATATTTATTTATGATCCTGGGTTGAGACTGTAAACTGATTTTATCATTTGAGTCTCCTGTGGGTCTGACTGCATCCTGGGGCCTGAACACTTCCTGCATTGTTCTTGACTTCAGCTGATTTAACTCTGACCTCACTGTCCAGCGTTAAAGCCTCAAGAGCCTAAAAGCAGGAGATTCTTTTAATGAGGAGGAACTAAAAGCGGCATGTGAACGCTCAGCCCGTCCCTGGAAATCACTCAGCTGGATTCACAAACCAAATGGATTCTTTACAGAGGTCGTCACAAGATCCCAGAACAATAGGTGCTGACCGGCAGGACGGGATGCAACAAGGGACATTTCCCAACGAGAAACGGCAGAAATAAAAGATACATTTCCTCCGCAGCAGGAGAATTTCATTTGGTGATGACATGAGATCAGGCTCTGCTTCCCGAAGAGTTTCAACATTTTAAAAATAAAATAAATACAATTTTCAACCAGAAGCAAAAAAATAAAAAAAATAATATTTTCCATAAAATCTTAGCTTTTAGTTTAAATTTCTCACTGAGAAAACGTTTTTATTTTTCACACTTGAATGTTCCAACTTTTTTCATGTAGTTTTTCTCCCCTGCCAGTAAAATAAACTCAAATCTGCCTCGTTATGGAAACGTGTCAAATCCACACTTTATATGTAGCTATTTGTTTCCAAACATACAGCCGATATATTTTAAGACTGAAATGATTAATCACATTAATTGTGATTAGTTGAAATTGAAATAATACTAATATAATAACACATGCTTTAAAGAAATGTAATTTGCTGAAAAACTCAAAGCAATAAAGAAGCCAAAACTGAAAAGAAAAAAAAAATGCTTTACATTCAGGAATAATAATAAAAAATCTTTTTCTGCAAATCTGTTCTACCCAAAACTCAAGTTGCAGTTTTAGCTTCATCTTTAAATCCTGTAAAATAATCACCTACTAAGCACCTTTTGCTACCCAAACATTAATCTGTTAATCCAGGAAATATTCTGCAGATCAGTCCTGCACTGAGCTGATGTTCAACCAAACAGAAAGGATTTTTACAGGCTGATGTTGGAAGAATCATGAGCTGCAGATTTTCATCTTTTCTCCTAGTGACATTAAAATAAGACAAAACAAAAAACACACAGTGGAGAACAAGACAGAAGCATCGATATAATATGTCAGGGCGTTGCAGAACATGTCAGGTCAAAATTCATTTTGAGCTTGCTGGTTGCATCCTGAAGGCCAAAGGTCATTTGAACGGCTTTAACATTTAACTCAGCTAATGTTTGAGCTGCAATCATTCACTTTGTTATATCATATTGGTGGTGCAGAAATGTCAGAGGGTTAAATGTGACTGTTCATGTTTTAGCACAAATGTTTCCAGCTGAGTTGATGAAAAGGCGTCGCATGCGGACCAAGCCGACCTCAGCGTTGCTGTGGGCTGAGGCTGCAGGCTGAGGCTGCGGGTTGAGGCTGCGGGTTGAGGCTGCGGGTTGAGGCTGCGGGTTGAGGCTGCGGGCTGAGGCTGCGGGCTGAGGCTGCGGGTTGAGGCTGCGGGCTGAGGCTGCGGGTTGAGGCTGCGGGCTGGGCTGCGGGTTGAGGCTGCGGGCTGAGGCTGCGGGTTGAGGCTGCGGGCTGAGCGGGTTGAGGCTGCGGGCTGAGGCTGCGGGTTGAGGCTGCGGGTTGAGGCTGCGGGTTGAGGCTGCGGGGTTGAGGCTGCGGGCTGAGGCTGCGGGCTGAGGGTTAGGGTTGAGCCTGCGGGTTGAGGCTGCGGGTTGAGGCTGCGGGCTGAGGCTGCGGGTTGAGGCTGCGGGTTGAGCCTGCGGGTTGAGGCTGCGGGCTGAGGATGCGGGCTGAGGCTGCGGGTTGAGGCTGCGGGTTGAGGCTGCGGGCTGAGGCTGCGGGTTGAGGCTGCGGGTTGAGGCTGCGGGTTGAGGCTGCGGGTTGAGGCTGCGGGTTGAGGCTGCGGGCTGAGGCTGCGGGCTGAGCTACGGGCTGAGGCTGCGGGCTGAGGCTGCGGGTTGAGGCTGCGGGTTGAGGCTGCGGGTTGAGGCTGCGGGCTGAGCTACGGGGCTGAGGCTGCGGGCTGAGCTACGGGCTGAGCCTGCATGTGATTTCTATTTTCTAAAATCTGTTCTGTTCATGTTGTATTCATTCAGGAGAAATATTGGTGTCGACAATCATGTCCAGACAAAACTATGAGTAAAAACATGCAGGAAAAGCTGCATTTTGGAAGCTTCATCTGCAACTTTTTACAACTTTAATGAAACCACAGAAGAAAATTTGTTGTTTTTTCATGTCTCTGCTCCATAAAGCTGTATTAATGAATCAATAGCACCTGTTATTATAGACTTCAAGTTTTGAGTGAAATGCTGTTTGCTACAGACACGCAGTTATTTCTGTTTTATGCACTGAAGTGTCTTCAAGCAGTCAGTCTCAAGAGGTGAGATAATCATTTTCAGTATTGAAAACTGCACAGAAGTGTCACAGTACCTTTCTTCTTCCTGGACTTTAACTAGGCAGATGTGGGCTGCTATCAAACTCTCAATTTACACTAATAATATAATTGAAGCTAATGGCATTTGGAGGGAAATGTTGAGGTATGATAAATTGGGAAATGAAGTTATGGCTTCGAGCGGCTCATGAATAACAGCCTTGTGTTGTATGAGACTTCGCAGCACGTGATAGTCACAAACGCAAATATTTGTTGTTAAAATTAGAAGGGAACTGGAGCTGCTTGAGGAAAGCTCAAAACCAACACATGCAAAATGCTAAAAACAAGATTCACTCAATGTGGAACAAAGTTAAGCACAAAAGCAGCAATAATCCTGACAGCAGGTGAAAGCAGGAGCAGGTTACAGAGGTTCTGGCCTCAAAGGCTTGTAATGAGATCAGGGTTTGTTTACAGTGAAAAGGACAGAAGATCTGCAGCCTGCCAAGCTGGTTGGTCAGCTGCTGCTTCTGTTGTAATTCGGTTCACATGAGCGCTCGGTTGGACCTATTAGTCAGCACGAGCTGCAGTCCCATGTCTGAAATTTGCTTTTTCTCAGCAGGCTGTCCGACCCGCCTGCCTCCCGGCCCATTCCTTTTGTTCGCTTTCTCTTCTTTCTTGCTGTTTCTTCTCAAGCTTCAGGAAACTAAAGCTGAACTAAACCTGAGCCAGCAGGTTGAAGCTGACATGACCTCAGAGAAGGAAAGCAATGGACTCGACAACTTTGCCTTTGCGGTGAGTTTAATGCTTTGTTTTCTTTGATAAAACAAGCTTTACTAAAAATGACATAAATGGAAATCTGGGGATGAACTTATTAGATCTAGCTAAACTTGTTGGTTTGGGATTTTTCTTGTCTTTTTCTACTTAATTAAATTTACATGCTAAACAGCTGGAACTGAAGAAAATACAAAAATCAATTTGTAAATTACCATCTTTCTGCCTTAAAGATGGAAGTAAAAGCCAAAGTACTTTAATCCCCTCATTGAATTTGCAGGACCCAAGTTCCACAGGTCTTTTGTTTCTGCACTGCCTCAGGTCTGAACAAATGAAGAAATTAATTTCTGTCAAATAGAAGAAACATTTGATTTAAATTTTCTGTAATAATTTATGAACGTTAGGGCGTTTTGTGTCCAAACCTTCAGTTCTGCTTTTCTCACGTCTTCCTGTGTCTGTCTGTCGAACTGAAGCTGGAAGGAGGTTTCTGTGATCTATCAGAAAAAGGAGAAGATCTAGACTCGTCTATTGATGAAGACACAAACAAACTGGCTTACTGCGTGACAGATGTCCCGCCCTGGTACCTCTGCATCTCTTAGGCGCTCAGGTTTGTCAGGAAAAGCTTTGAAAGCCGACAGTTTTCATGGAGTCCAGAGTTACATAACAACATCAACAAGATTTATTTTAGTCATCCGGTTCTTAGTTCATGTTTCAATACGTTTAGGCCTGCAGCTAACAATTATTTTAGTAGTAGAATATTCTGATAATGAATCGATTAATCAGATAAAAAACTTGTATATTCTGCAGTTTTCATTTAGCCATTTAAGTTTTTTTTATAGATGCATTGAAAGATGCAAATAACTTTTAAAACAAGACAAAAAACATTTTATTTCATAAAACTCAACAGTTGTGAAGTAAAAGAGGCATCTGCAGCTGAAATGTTCAGAACAGAGTAGGGATGATCTGGTGATTATTTTATGGATCAACTGATCAGAAGTTACTGAAGATTTTTATTTTTTCAGAATTTGAACCAGGTGAAGCTAAAACTGCCACTAGAAAAGTCCTAATATGTTTTTAATACCTTAAAAACAAAATGTACATATTTTTGCACAGTTTAGGTTTAATTATTGCTCTTAATGTGTTGTTCTTTCAGCAAATGATCATTTTTATAGTCTATCCTCCAGTTAGCAATTAATTGATACTAAATTAGTTACATTTCACTAATTGATTCATCATTATTAATCATTTCAGTATTAAATGAATTCATCCATTAAAAGTCAAACTGTTTTATTCTTAATTTTAAATGTCCCTCCTGTGTTCCTGTAGCACTGTTTGACTGCCTTTGGCGGCATCATCGCCATCCCCCTGATCCTGTCGCAGGGTCTGTGTCTGCAGCATGACGGCCTCACGCAGAGCTACCTCATCAGCACCATCTTCTTGGTGTCTGGAGTCTGCACCTTGCTGCAGGTCACCTTTGGCATCAGGTAGGAACTGATATGACAAGGATCCGATTTCCTGCTGAGGACGGACTATTAGCAGGGATTTGCTGCCTGTGGCTGATTTTATTGGTTGTTGTTGATTAAACACAGCAGTTCAACAAGAGAGTGAATCAAATGGAATCAACCAATCGTCTCCATTTCAGGTCTGAGTCTTTTTCAGATGAAATCTGAAGCATTTGAAGAAGAAAAAATTAACACTTTACAACTTTTTGTACATTTTGTCAAGCAGCTTTACCCTTTTAGGATTCACATTTTTAAAAAATTATGACTAATCGATGAACGAAATAATTGTAAACTAATGCAGGCATCAATTAATCGGTAACTGAAGTATAGACACTATAAAAAAGGCCTTTTGCTGAAAGAACAACACAGGCAGAGCAGTAATTATGTACAAAATTGATAAACATTTTGCATTTAAGATAAAAAAAATCTCTGTCTGTAAATATTTTCTACCCAGAATTCCTCAAGTTGCAGCTTCAGCTCTGGACAATAAGGAAAATAAATTTTTCCTTTATGTTTCCATCTCCCGTTCAGCACATTAACTTTTTTTTTCGTTAATGTTGAAAAAGTAAAAATAATTTTAAAAAAAAGCTCTGTAAACAGAAGTGAGGATCCTGTGTTAGTTATGCTGAGTTAAGGTGATAGTAAACCTGGTGCAAAAGCTGTTTTTGTCTTTGAAAACCAGATTAAAATGTGATTTCAGCTCTGAGCGCTGCAGCTCAGCTGAATCCTGTCGTCACAGCTGGATTAGTCAAGGAATTTCCATCTCATTATGTTCGGAATCTGGTTTCTGCTAAAACCGGCATTCTCCTGGCTTAGCACCACTGATGCTTTCTTGTCCTTTCCTAAGCATTCAGGCATGAGCTGGCAGGAAAACATCACCTTCAACAAGTTCAAGTTTTTCTTTCTCAAAGCAAAGAGCCATTTTCTCCTCCAACAACTTCCTGCATGATGCTGATTTACATGCTTCACTGCAAAGTCGGATGTGAATAACAGATAGTGAGCAGCACAGAGACAATCATTAGCAGCTGATTGCTTTAACCTACTTAACCTCGAGTCTGTGTGTCTAATAGGAGAGTCACTCTCGCTTCACATGACTTGACTTAACTGTTCATATGCACCAGATGGAGACTGTAGGTTCAAATCTCCTGCTTATGAATAAATATAAATGATCTCAGATATTAGGAGTATTTTGCTCACCAGTTCATTAATGACTCGGCCATCTTTGCCCCCAGGCTGCCCATTCTTCAAGGCGGTACGTTCACGCTGCTGGCTCCCTCCATGGCGATGCTGTCCATGCCAGAGTTTAGGTGTCCTGCCTGGACCCAAAACGCCAGCTCAGTCAACGCTTCGTCCACAGAGTTCACAGAAGTGTGGCAAAGTCGGATGAGCTGTAAGTAAACTGTGAGCATTTAACCGTTTAAAGCACAGGTTGGATCACAGCATTTTTAATTGAATTGAATTAAACTAACAGCTGGTCATGACTCCACTGGGTTTTACCTCCAAATTTAGCAAACAAAGAGAAACCAAACACTTTTTGTACTGTTCTGAAAAATAAATTGGCTTATTTATTTTTCAGACACCAGCTGCCATGGAGTCTGTGCACCATGGCAGCTGTGCAGACATGCTCAGGCTTTTAGCAGCATGCTTCACTGACGATGTTGTGATGTTTGGAGATCAAAGATTAAAGCAATATTTGAGTTATTTAGCCTGTCATAAGAAAAAAAAAGGGAATTCTTTTTTGAAAGTTAAATTTTCACTGTTTTTCATGGATTTCTAAATGTCACAGTTTTCAAACTTTATAGCCCATTTAGCTCCAGTGAGCAAGATAAATTAATAGAGGTTAAATATTTATAGCTCCAAATATATTTATCTTGCTGGCTAAATATTTAGATATCTAAATAATTAGCCAGCAGGCTAAATATGCACTTCAGCCACAAAATATTTAACTTCTTGCTAAATATTCAAGTTGGAACTAATATTTAGCTCCAAACTAAATGTTTAGCAAACAAACTATATATATATATTAAAACTTTGACTGTTTTCTCAGTCTCAAGGGATTCTAATTTTTTATTGAAATGTTGCAATCATAGTTTGTTGTTTGTTGTAGACTTAGTCATTGTGATGATTTTATGTATTTTTAGGGTTTTAGTTTCAGCAATAACCAGCCAATGTGCTGTCAGATAAAAATAAAAACTCTTAAATTATATAATTTCACTTGTAATCATTTTACAGACTAAAAATGTCCAAACAAAATGTCTTTAATAACGAGGTGGGGAACCGTTGTTTCTAGGCCTCAACTGCGTTTCAGCCTTTGTGCAGGTTCACGACACTCCCTCTAGTGGCAGACAACAGTATTACAAAAACAAAGACGAAAGTGAATCACACAATTAGAATATTTTATTCTTACAAAATAAAACATCGGATTTTTTCCTCCTTTTTTCAAATTAAGTTTCCATTGTTTTTTTTTAACTGAATGAGTGTAATGACTGATGTCTAATAGTTGTGATGTTTTCTGTCTCTAGCTGCAGGGCTCCATTATTGTGGGCTCCATCTTCCAGGTGTTTGTTGGATTTTCTGGCCTCATCGGCCTCTTCATGCGCTTCATTGGACCTCTCACCATTGCTCCCACTATCGCTCTTATTGGTCTGTCGCTGTTTGATTCAGCTGGGAGCAGCGCTGGAAACCACTGGGGCATCTCTTCAATGTAATTTATTGGACTTTTTTATATTTTTACACAAGAAAAAAAACACCAAACATTGTTTTATGTCTTTCAGGAAATCTATTTTCCTAAATCTGGTTCTTTTTCAAATTCAACAAGATAAAAAATTATCAATGCCTTTTCCTTAATGATAATTCTTATGTGAAAAAAGACTTACAATTTTCTGTTCAGAATCTGTTTTCTCCATCTCCTGTTTAAATTTCAGACTGATTTTATTTCTGTCTGCCTCTGACAGGACCACAGCCCTTATCATCCTGTTTTCACAGTACCTCCGTCACATAGCCATCCCCTTTCCTACCTACAGCAAGGATAAAAAGCTTCACACTTCTCCAGTCTACATCTTTCAAATTCTCCCTGTATGTAACTGAAAAGGTGATTTATGTTTTAGAAATAGAGTAAATTGTGATTGTTTTTGTTGTTGTTGCCCATTTCAATTCTCAGGTCTTGTTGGGAATCACAGTTTCTTGGCTCATTTGTTACATCTTGACGGTGTATGACATTCTTCCTGCCGAACCTGGGCAGTACGGTTACCTCGCACGCACAGACCTAAAAGGAAAGTAATCAGCCAAGCTCCCTGGTTTACCTTCCCATACCCAGGTAAGATGCTGCAGTATCAGACATTAAGATTACATCTGATTTTTTCAGAGTGCCAAAATATCTCAAAGATGCGTCTGTTTAAAGCCAGAGGAGATTTGTGTGACTGTAAAACAATATTTCTTTTCACAAAATAATGCAACATTTACTTTAGGCAATTCATGTAAATCTAACAAATCTATCAGAAGGTGCACAGTATTGTAAATATTAAAACGCTGCAACAGCCTGGTTAAACTAATATGCTCCAAAACACAATTTTCACTTCCAGACAATTTTAAAAAGATATTTTAATCTGGCAAACGAACCTTATTCAAATGCATTATTTCTATACTGAATGTAACTGTATGCAAAAAGCATCAACCGGAGACGAGCGAGGAAAACAGTGACGTCATAAAAACTGGACGTTTCTCCAAAAGTTATAAAAAGACGGGACAATAATAACAGTAATTATTGTGAATATTCCGCCCATATTATGAATTCATTTATAAATTAATAAATAATTTATTTGGTTTAAAACCAAATGTTACATCTGCAAAATAAATATTTAGCTTAGAGCTCAGAACTAAATATTTAGCTAACATGCTAATGCTAGGTTGCCCCTGACCGGAAGTGGACTGCTAAAAACAAAAGCTGGGTCTTACTTTCTCCACTAAACTCCTGGGAATCAGGCCGCTGCTGCTGTCCATCCATCGGTAAATGTCCGTCCGTCTGTTAAAACGGCTCATCCAGCTGAAACTGCGGGAACGGAAACAATGAAGAGGTGAGAGTTAGAACTGTCACCGGCTTTTATTTTGGCAGTCAGCTTCCGCCTGGTGAATTTACATGTTAGCCAAGTATTTAATTTGAAGTTAAATATTAAAAACATGACCAATCTTTCTTCACGTTTTTCTGTTTCTCGGTTGGAAATTACAGTTTTGAATTGGCCTAATCAAAGTTCAATATCAGATGAGATAGAAAATCTCAGGAGTCACCCGAAGAAGAGACTGAATATTAAAAAATTATGTCCAAATTTATGCAGTCAATTTGTATTGTTTTACATTTCCTTCTGATTAATGTGTATTATTCACATTACCATAAGCAGGTAAACTTTTGAAAGCGACATTATAATGATGAGATCCCATGAAGTAAAAGCTATTTTGATTAAAAACTGTTCATAAAACAGGAAAGTCTTTGTTAAAGGTGCTAGTTTAGTGTTTATGTCTGCAGATAATCAAACGGAATATATTTAAGATGTTTTTGTGATTCTAGTTTATTTTGCTTGAAACCAAACCCAGGCCAGTGGGGGAAACCCACAGTGAGCCTGGCCGGCGTGGTGGGGATCCTGGCCGGGGTCATCTCCTCCATGATCGAGTCTGTTGGGGATTATCACGCATGCGCAAGATTATCCGGAGCGCCGCCGCCACCGAGACACGCCATTAACCGCGGCATCGGCATCGAGGGAATCGGCTGCCTGCTGGCTGGAGCGTGGGGAACCGGAAACGGAACCACTTCCTACAGCGAGAACGTCGGTGCGCTCGGCATCACCAAGGTAACAGCCTCCTCCATGGGATGACGTCAGACTGAAAGAGCAAACGCTTCAGCAGCATCTCCTGACTCTGCAGGTCGGAAGCCGCGTGGTCATAGTGGCCAGCGGGGTGTTCATGGTTTCCATGGGGATTCTGGGTAAAATGGGTGCTGTGTTTGCAACCATCCCCTCTCCGGTGATTGGAGGCATGATCATGGTCATGTTTGGTGTCATCTGTGCAGCAGGAGTCTCTAATTTGCAGGTAAACACCTTAAGTTAGAACAGGAAAGTTTCCTGAAAGCTTCTCAAAGATTTCCGATCCTGTTCCGACTGGAAGATTTCTGCCCATATTTTCAGTACACAGACATGAATTCATCCAGAAATATCTTCATTTTTGGCTTCTCCATGTTCTCTGGTTTGGTCATTCCCAACTGGATATTAAAGAATCCCAAAGCTATTGCTACAGGTACATAAACAGTTTGTGTTACTTTGTTAATTAACATTTAAAAAGCATCAAACCGTCGTTTCCAGGTGCGGTAGAGTTCGACCAGATGCTGCAGGTTCTTCTGACAACCAGCATGTTTGTTGGCGGTTTCTTCGGGTTCGTGTTGGACAACACCGTCCCAGGTGCTCTCACACATCAACACAACCTCAGTGACAGTAGGGCTTTCTGCCCAGGGCTGCACAGTGTGGGAAGGCAGGGGGGTTAGGGGCACAAGGCCAAAAATAATAATATTTTGAATAACAAAAGTGTTTTCATAAGAAGATGTTGTTCTAAATGAAATGGTTCTTCCTGTGTTTTTAGAAATATCGACTGTGTTTTCTTTGCAGGATCGAAACAGGAGCGTGGCATCCTGGCCTGGAACAAAGCTCATGAAGACGATTCGTGTGAAACTCTGGAGACTGGAGAGGTTTACAACCTCCCATTTGGCCTGACCTCCTACCTGTCCTCGTTCTCCTGGCTGCGCTACGTCCCGTTCTGCCCGCCGGGCCTGTCCAGCTCCCTGGAGCCCAAGCAGCCGCTGGGAACTCCTGACCCGGGCCAGATCATGATCGGAGTTGGGTTGTGAGCCACGGTTTCCTGTTACGGTGCCATCATTTCCCCAAACACACCAACACCAGAGGCAGCTCAGGCTCTGTAACGTCTCACAGACGGTGTACTGTAGCAACAGTGTTTGGATCTTATTACATCATAATTCATCTTTCTTTTCACAGCGTGTTTGGACTGCTACATTAACTTTTAAATGAGACCAAGTGGTGAATTCAGAAAAGAAGGCCACACAGGAGTAAAAGAGTAATCGCTGCCATTTCTTAGAAATAAAAAGGCGACTGAAAAGCAAAGATACTTTGACTAGACAAAGTTTAGAAACAGCAGGTGAATGTGAATCAGACGACTTTTTCACAGCAGGATGTGGAGTCGGACCAGGAGTCATTATTATCATTTTCAGCCTTTATTTACATCCAGATTCACCGTCTGCTGCTGCATCATGATACACGTCTCACATCAATGATGTAAAAGTCGGACAAAATGTGACATGAAAACTATCTGATACCAGTTAGTTCCACATATGGAAGTGGAACAGATCAGTTTTCAAGGTTTTTGAAAAGATTGAAATTGGAAAGTTAAAAACCTGTCTGATTTGAGTCGTATTTTCCTGCAGTTTGAACGCAGCCGAACCTCCAGGACTCAAAGTTCTGATGTTTTATATCTGTTCTATTTCATGAACAAAGCAAAAACTGAATTTAAAAAAAATCTTTGGTAGGATTTGTAAAAATGTAAACTGTTGCCATGAGGGGAAAAGTTTCAGCTTCTCACCTTTTAAAAGTGAACAGAATCTTAAACTGGTAACAGAGGAGTGAAACATGTCTGCTGATCTGCTGCTGCTGCTGGATACATTTTTGGAAAGATATTTAATGCAGTGGTGCTTTGCTTTGAAATCCAAGATGGTTTATTATTTACATTGGATCCTTAATGACAAGAGATTAAAATGAATCCAACATAGACACCTTTATTAAAGTTTTCAGATATTTTTCACTCATATTTCATATTATTTTCACTCTGTTTTGTAGTGACTCATTTAAAGTTGTTTTGTTTTCAGTCTCAGATGTCAGTTGCATGCAGGTGCTAGTAAATCAAATATTCAATGTAAATATGATGTAAATATGGGATTTCAGTTGAATCGTCTTTTGCTGAGAAGATTTCAGTGATTTCTTCATTTGGATTTCTGTTCAGTTCATTTCTGATCCTCATTTCTTTCAGTTGCAACATCTAATAATGAATTTTTAAAGTCATGTTTATTAAACA